AATACGTTACCTCCAACACTAATAAAGTGTTGTCAAATTTTCCATATCAGCTAGTTTATGGCCCCTTTAATGGAGATTATTATGTGTACCAAAACAGCATCTTCTGTTTCTTCTGACTATTGCAAACAATGGAACAGTATCTGGCCCACATGGTTTTGAAATGCGGTTAGTGAATCCTTTATCCATAGATGACCTTGTGAGTCAATAAAGACTGACTGTGCTTCCAGGAGTTATTTAATTAAGTAAATGTAATACACTGGTTATCCTTGATGTGATCATTATACCTTTGTATTTGATAGTGTAAGTGAGTTTTACTGGTACTATATTGCATTACAGAGTATTTGGATCAAATACTGATGACACTGGTTGTTGAGACATGTACAACAGAACTAAAAAGGCCTTTTTAAAGATAATCTATTTTTATATTCAAAGTGTAAATGTTGGTATTTTTAATCTACTGTCTCAATTATGTACTTCTATGTTTCTCTCTCAGCAGGTATGCACACCAGTATCAGTGAGATTTTGAAGGAGAAAACGCTAAAGTCGTCTCGCCGCAGTTTGCCGTGTCTGGCTCAGAGTCAGACGCATCCTCAGAACCTCAATCACTTCCTGTCTGTGCCTCTGAGTCCTGAACCCAAAACATACACTCACAACGTCAGTGCCTCCTGCACACACATCACACCTCCTCCCACAGGTACGCACTAGCAAACTTTTTTCTTTGTATTTCAATTAGCTTGTGGTTGAATATGGTAATATCAACACAATCTCATGTTAAATCTGAAGTATTTTACATGCTGGCAGACCCGAAAGCTCACTCTGCGATTTCTTTCAGTCTTCATGAGGTCATGATACTGGCTGCATCTTGCTCTGTGGAGTTAAATGTTGAACAGGGTGATGTTTCCACACATAGTGATAAAGAGACAATTACAGTACCTCACTGTATTGACTACGAGAAGTTAACTGTGTTAACTCGTGCCATAGACAAACTCAGTTTGAATTGGCCTGAGGAAGAACTGAAAGTGTCCCAAAGTAATTTAGACAAATGTTTTCTATCAGGTCAAAGCACTCATCCTCCTCTTAGGTGGCTTCCTTTCTTCCAGGATCTCCACAACAAGTTATGGCGCTTTTCCACGGCATGGTATGGTTCGGCATGGCTCACTTAAATAGTACCACCCTTGTTGAGGTTCCAAGTGAGCCTTACCGATACTAAAATGTAACGTGTTAACACTGCAGATCACTGATTAGTCAGAGAGTATCGTCACTACCAGTGGTCATTGAATTTGCGACACGAGACACCAAACCTGCTAGCATCAACAGCCACCGTAGTATCGTTTGCATGACTTAAACGACTTGCTTTA